CCTCTGAGCCTTCATTAGAACTAGATTCATTTTCTCAATCATGAACATTCCGCCTCCCTTGAAATAACCTTTTTTCAACAAGAAAGTCAATCTCAAATTCGCCAGGGAGTCAGTCTTTAAATTCACAACCATTGCAAGGTCAGATAGCAAATTATATTGTCGTGGAATACTCTGAAAATAGACGAGTTAAATTATACAAGTCTTAAACCTAAAAATAACTAAACTTCAGAACTTAAAATCGGAGCAAAGAAAAATATTTCGCTGAAAACAAAACACTGTTGTATTATAATGCAACTTCTTCGAATAAAATACAAATTAAACCGGCCATTTTGGCTAACAAAAAAAAGGAACGATCTTACACTTTTTACCCGGTGATAATCATAGTGCGATTTTGCACAAAGCTCTCCATAGATATAATCCAATAAATCAATCTAGCGATAATCCATCCTGGGGAATCGGGCATAAATTTCGGACGGATCGCTTAAAAGTGCCGCTATGAGTCCGCACCGTTACAACTCGTACAACATTATCTGGTCCAGGGTGGAGTTCAACAACTCTTCCAAGCATCCACCTTAAAGGGGATAAGTTATCCTCCTTGAGCAATACTAAAGTATTAAGCATGATGTTGTCTCCTTCTTTGGTCCATTTGCCTCGTTTCTGTAGTTCTTGTAGATACTCCGTTTGCCATCGAAGCCAAAATTTTTGACGAAGCTTTTGCAGGTGTTGCCATCTCGATAGTTTATTATCTGGAGTCTCGGTCCAATCTTGCTGAACGGGCTGTATTAGAGAATCGCCAATAAGGAAATGGGAAGGAGTGAGGACTGACAGATCCGCTGGATCACTCGATAAAGGGGTCAGGGGTCTGGAATTTAAAATGGCTTCTATTTCAGTCAAAAGCGTGTTATATTCTTCATAAGTAAGCGTTAAACCTTGCGTCAGTGTGTAGAGATGACGCTTCAAGGCTTTCACCGCCGCCTCCCATAAACCACCGAAATTTGGAGTGCGTGGCGGAATAAAATTCCATTTCATACATTGACTCGCGAGATATGTCTCTATCTCGACCTTTTCTTTCTCTAGAAACTCGTAGATTTCCTTCAGCTCCCGAGCCGCACCAACAAAATTCGTTGCGTTGTCAGAGAAGAGCTGCGAACAGATTCCTCTTCGCGCGGTAAATCTTCGTAAAGCTGCGATAAATGCTTCAGTGGTGAGATCGGTCACTAATTCTAGATGCACGGCTTTTGTACTAAAGCACGTGAATACTGCTACGTAGCCCTTGGATACGTGAACTCTTCCACGCCGTCGACTTTCTCGAATTTGGAGAGGACCGGCATAGTCTACGCCGGTAGTCACGAACGGACGCGAGAATCCGCTAACTCGCTGAGCTGGTAGATCTCCCATTTTCACTTCAGGGAACGTCGGTCTGAAACGATAGCACGGCAGACAAGCTTTTATTACCTTTCGAGCTTCTCTTAGACCGCTTAACGGCCAGAACCTGTATCGTACAGCACTCAACAACTGAGTAGGTGGACAATGGTGTAACCGTATGTGTTCGCTCTTCATTATCAAATTCGTAACAAAATGCTTAGCGGGTAGAATAATCTGATGCTTTCGATCTTCGGACATAGCTGCATGTCGGAGCCTACCGCCAATGCGAATCAATCCTTCTTTGTCTAGAAAGGGGTCTAATGGTCTCAATTTACTTTTGCGATGTACTTCTTGCCCGTTTTCTAAGTCTCGAACCTCTTGCGAGAAGGCCTCTTGTTGCACCATTCTTGCTATGATTTTTTCGGCATTTCTTAGTTCTTCCACAGTGACAGGGCGATTTCGTGGACCTGCTTGACTGCTGCTTCTCCATCGAAGACAGTAAGAGATAACTCTTTGCAGCTTGCTATAAGAAGAGAATCTCTCGAGAATCTCCTTTGCTGTAGCCGTCACTAATGCCACAGTTACTGGTCTCATCTCCGGTAGTACTGTATCAGGCGCTTTCATGTTTTTCGGCCATTGATTTTCTTCCGTCATCCACTGAGGTCCATGCCACCACAGCTTATCTTCGATTAATCGGTCAACTTCAATTCCTCTCGACAGCATATCTGCCGGATTATCTTCAGAGGGCACGTGGTACCATTCTATATTCTTCGTTAGCAGTTGTATCTTCGATACGCGATTAGCCACAAATGTTTTTAACACGTTGGGTGGAGTATTGATCCAGCCGAGGACTATGGTATTGTCGCTCCATAGTCGCACTGTACGAATACGATCGCCGTAAGCCCTTTTTGCAGTATGATAAAGATCAGATAGTAATAGAGCAGCTTCTAGCTCCAAACGTGGCAGAGATATAGTTTTTAACGGGGCCACCTTGGACTTCGCACAGATGAGATGAGATTGTACCTTTCTCGATTTGTCTATGCTCACAGCGTATAAACAAGCACCGTAGGCCTTTTCGGATGCGTCTCCAAATCCCATAATATCAAATTTCTTTGATGAATTAGTAGGTATGACGTTTCTCGGCATGCGTAATTCATTGACTCTTGGCAAGGAAGTATAATACTTTTCCCAAGTCGATAGAAACTCCGGAGGAAGAGTTTGATCCCAACCAATTTCAAACAGCCATAATCGTTGCATAATGCACTTGCCGTTAATGAGTAGCGGCGCTATCAATCCCAGCGGATCGAATACTTGCGAGATCTTCGAGAGTAAAGTACGCTTCGTTGTGACCTTTGTCTCCTCGATCTCTACCTTATATTGCAGGCAGTCTTCTGCCGCATTCCAGAGCAAGCCTAGAGTTTTTTGGGCTCCCTCCTTGTCTAACACCAGCAGCTTATCAGTTTTACATGCCTCGCTGAGATGTTGTAGTATTCTCGAATCATTTGCTCTCCATTTTCGAAGATAGAATTGTCCTCGTGCTAATAACTCGGACAGTTGTCTTTGCATCTCGATTGCTTCATCCAATGTGTCAGCTCCTGTTTGGACGTCGTCCATGTAGGTTTCTTCTTCCAATGCTTTTGCCGCGAGTGGCAAATCTTTTGCTTCTGCAGCTAACTCTCTCAGACAGCTAATGGCTAGAAAACCCGCACCTGCCTGGCCGTAGGTCACAGTATTCAGCTCACATAACATGATGAGTTCGCTCGGACTTCTTCTCCATAGTATGCGCTGAAGCACCCTATCTGGCTTGGCCACCAAAATCTGCCTGTACATCATGGCCACGTCCGCCGTCATTACGTACTCATAGATTCTGAATCGCAGGATTATGTAGACTAAATCCTGTTGCAAGTTCGGTCCCGGAATGAGCTTGTCATTCAGTGATGTTCCGAGTGTTGTCTTGGCAGATGCATCAAAAACAACACGCAATTTTGTAGTGACACTGTCTGGTCGTATCACCGCTTGGTGAGGAAGTATGTAACCTTCCGATCCTTGAATTTTTTCATCCGTTAATACGGACATGTGACCTTGCTTTAGATAGTCATCCATAAACTTGACATATTCCTTCTGAAATTCTGGATCCTTTGAGAATCTTCGTTCGAGCGACAACAACCGTCGATATGCCTGCTCCATTGAATCTCCTAAAATGACCTCTGGTCGCTGCGGTAGTCGCACAACGAATCGACCGTCTGGCTCTCGCTTGACTGTATCCGCAAAATATTTCTTGCAATACTTTTCTTCTTCGGTGTATTGAGGGATTTCCGGAAACTCCTCTTGCTTCCAAAATCGTTCGATTTGTTTGCTCAGCATCTCATTTGTGATCGATAAGTGCGTCATTGATGATTTCGATTTCTTTCCAGGTATCTCACCTCCGATTATCCAACCTAAGCGCGTATTTTGTAGAGCTGGTTGTCCAGAAACTTGATTTCTCGGGTTGCCGACGAGGATCTTCCAATAAAGTCCTGCTCCTACTAGTAGATTTATTTGACCAGGTTTGTCAAACACTGGGTCCGCTAAGCGTATGCTTTTTGGCATTGCTATCTGCGTTATGTCGATTCGACTTTGTGGTAACTGCTCCGTAATGTTTGGCAGTATCAAGCATTCAAGATTTGTCGAGAAGTCCTCTTGAAGTGACTCTATTCGAACTGTGACTACCTTGCTGGCGTTCGTCTTTGCTAGATTTATACCGCTGATGGGTCGATGTTCCGTTCTATGCCTCAATTTCAGCTGTCTTGCGAAACTTTCCGTTATCAGGTTCGACTGTGACCCTGGATCCAACAGTACTCGACATATCTGAGGATTTCCGTCTACGTCGTAAGCATGCACCCGTGCCGTTGAAAGAATGATGCTCGATGTCGGCTTATGGACGCAGTGAATATTTGTTATGTATTCTTGATCTTCGATCTTCATTGATGATCTTGACTTTTCAATGGATTTATCTGCACAGTACGCGACCACTGCCGTTGTGTCCGGTTCACTTCCCGCTTTCGTCTGCGACTCTGTATCTCTGTGCAACAAAGTGTTATGACGCATAGAGCACTTCCTGCATGAAGTCGATTTGCAATCTCTCGCAATATGCCCTTCTCCGAGACAATTAATACATAGCCTTTTGCTAACGATTTCCTTCTTCCTGTCAACCGGCGATAGTTTTTGCAACTCTTCACACTTGTAGATTGAGTGAGTTCCTTTGCAGTACTTACATTCCTGCGCCGTGACAGCTAGTGTGACTTTTTTATCACTTTTCTTCTTCTCTGACGGTTTCGTTGTAGCTGACTTCTCTTTCCCTTGGTTGAGAACCCTTAGAGTGTTGCACCGATCCGTGAGAAATTTGAGAAATTCTTCTATTCTGGGCATGTCTGCCGCATTCCGATCCTTTATTATGTTTTGCCAATCTCGCTGTTCCACGAAATCAAGCTTCTTCTTCGCTAAATGAAGTATTATCGTTTCCCATTGATTTACTGGCTGACCAAGTGCTTCCAGCGACGTCATGTGTGTTCGTATGTGCCAAACGAACTGTCTGATTGAATCTGCTTTATTTTCCTTGGAGATGACAGGGAAATTTAAGAGCTCGTCGAGATGTGCTTCGATTATGATTATTTTGTTGTCATATGTATCCTTTAAGAGCTTCCATGCATGCTCGTAATTCTCGTTCGAGATCCTGTATCCTTTTATTACTTCTAGTGCTTCGCCTTTGAGTACGCCGACCAAATACTGGTGCTTTTGCATCGGGGTGAGATTTTGCTCTTCATGAATCGTTGTCTCAAAGCTATCTTTGAAGAACATCCATTTCGTAAACTCGCCGCTAAACTCTGGGAGTTTTATTTCGGGTAGCTTCGGCCTTTGCCTCGGCATTTCTTGAACGATTTGTCTGATAGGCAGTCCATTTGCCATATCTTGCGCGACGTTTTGACCCTGCCGGTTTGGCATTCGATCTTGATCGATAATTTCCTGAGCTCTTCCTGCTGCTTTATAATAATTCGCCTCGAACGCTTTTCTTTCCGCTTCGCCCTCCAATAATTGCTGCGCGAGTGTTGCATCGTCTTCTATCGACAATGTTTCGATTTCCGTTTGTATTTCTTCGAAAGCTGTCCAACATTCTTCGAGCTTTGCTAGCCTGATTTGCGCATCTGCTGCCGACTTTTCTTCCGGTGACTCGAAATAATTCAGCATACGAGTGACTTTTCCTTTTATCGTAGCACGCTTTCCTTTTAACGCCTTGTACTCTGCCATTTTATATGCGAAAACTAACAGGAATACCTGAGGACAAGGAAAGGATTATTAGCGATTCACTTAACCAATATTTAGCCCCACGTTGCGTTCGTTTTTGCAAGTGGCTGTGCACGAATCTTAATTCGAGCATGCAATACTTCCCTGCGTTTATGAGAAATACGCTGTATGCCGTCTCGAGCGTGAGAGAGAGACGCTGTGTGCCGCCTCGAGCGTGAGAGAGAGACGCTGTGTGTCGCCTCGAGCGTGAGAGAGAGACGCTGTGTACGTCCCGACCGTTGAAAAAGACGTTGTATGCCTTGACCGTTTAGAGAGACGTTGTATGCCGCCTCGACCTTTGAGAGAGACGTTGTATGCCGCCTCGACCTTGTAAAAGACGCTGCGCGCCTTCCTGGTTGCGCGAGAGGCGCCGTGTGTCTTCTTTATTTGCGCGAGAGGCGCCGTGCCCCGTCTTGATTGCGCGAGACGCCGTGCGTCGTTCCGATTTATGAAAGGCGCCGTACGCCGGTCCGATTACGTGAGGAGCGCCGTGCCCCGCCTCGATGTGTGAAAAAAGACGCTGTGCGTCGTTACCTTCTTGAGAGAGAGGCTGTGTGCTTTCCCTTTTGTGCTTCTACTGCGGACACGAGTTCCCGCCTTCGGCCATACTTCCTCGTGCCTCGACCGTTTCGTGCTTCTCACCCGAATTTTGCGCTTGGCTTGTCTTCCCAGCGCCGTGTGTCCGTATGCTTGTTGGGCGCCAATGTT